GACTATAAAAACCTGAGACCAGGCTAAGTCCATGAGAGCTAATAAGAAAAATATTCATAACAAATTGTAGCAAACACTTACAAGCGTGGAACCAGGATAGATAGATCTGTAGAAATTTATGCCATGAAACTAAACACATAACCAAGTCCATGACCCCACGGCATGGACTAGAAAGAAGAACTAGTAACAAAAACTAACAGTGTCTAACTAGCGTCAACAGTGGAGTAAATCATGTCTATCTAATTTAGAACTTAATAGAAATAAATAAAAGCATATATCACGTCACACAGATCTTCTGTGTGAATTGGTGACGTCATTGCTGATAATGGGGATCCAAATGGGAGAAAAGTCCAAACTGGGTTGGTAATTGGGTTGGCCGAGCATGCCATATGGGCCGCTTCCTTGTATTTCCTATATCTGATGTGGCTTTCAATATCCAAAATCTTAGCTTCCTCCCAGCCTACCCTATGTCCCTCTTCATAGGCATGTTGGGCTAGTTTAGATTTTTCTAGAAGACCTTCTTTTAGGTTATGCCTAAGTTCCCGGAGCCACACGGCCAGAGGTCTGCCTGTTTCGCCAATGCAGCTTCTGCCACATTCACAGGGAATGCTGTTGCTTGAGCTTCGAGACGAAGTAAGGTTGTTCCTCATAAACTCTAAATTTCAGTTAACACACTATTTAAATGATTTTGCATGGCTCTCCTCTCTTGCNAAGCTAGGTCTGTTTACCCTGAAATTTCCAAAAGGGCTGTAAGACATCTGTTGCCATTTCCCACTACATATCTGTGCGAGACAACATTTTCTCATCTTGTACACATGAAAAACAGATATAGGAACACACTTAACGTGGAGCCAGATCTACGTCTGAAATTATCCAGTTTTGATCCTGACATTCGAAAGTTGACGTCTGAAAAACAGCACCAGCCATCACATTAGGTGAGTGTTAAATTCATAATATTACGCCTAATTGATATGTTCGTAATCTTCCGAATATCTCCATTTATAACAGTATTTTATTGTCATAAATGACACATTTAGTGTTGTAAAATTTTAAGTTACTGCTTCATTTTTATGATATGTACTCGTAAAATTTAAAAATTTCCATTTTGGGTTTTATGGGGGCCGCGGTGAATTAACATTCGGTACAGGGGGTCCGCGGCATCAAAAAGGTTGGGAAACACTGCTCTATAGCTTATAGAAGTTTATCATCACTGAGGAGGAACACACTACTTTCATCTACCTCAGAGTTGAAAAGTGAACCAAGCAACCATCATCACAGGAACAGTTGATGTTGATCTCCATCTTAGTAACAGGTTTGAAGAGGATGGCTTCTGCCAAAACAAGACATTGAATCGTCTTGTCCACTGTCTGCAAGAACGTAAGACACCTCATTCTTATGAATTTTCAGGAAGGTGTTCTCCAGCCAGGCCATTGGTCTTAGCATACACTATATTTCTCAGGGCATGTCTCTGCCCTGCAGGGCCTCCATCTGCTTTCATTTCCTCCTTTCATCTTCCTTAGTCTGCCTTCTGTCCCAATCTCCCGTCCATATGTGTGACAGTGTAAACTTGCCCTTTTGATAGGAGAACAAATCAGGTTTGTGTCAGGGACCAGGATTTCTTGCACCACTCCTCTAACAGATCATTACTCAGGAGTTGTCACCCCAGTGGGATTAGGTAACTCTGTGACTAGGATTTGAGAACCACAATTGACAGTGACTACAAATTATAATAATGCAGACTTTTTAAATATTTGTTTCTCATAACAAAATTATATATTGTAATAACAAGAACTACAACAGCAAGAACCTTGTAAGTGTGCAGATTCAGAAGCTAAGGATGAGCTATTCCTGGGGCCAAAGAAAGAAAATGGTTTTCTTTCAGCTCAGTTACCTGGGTCCAGAAACAAGCTCCACTAAACACGTGGCTGCATCAGTTCAAATGAAAGACCTCCTATGTGATACAATCTCATTCCAACGTGGGCTGTCTGTATATTTTAGTAATAACACCAATAATCCCAAAATTAGACTCAATAGATCATTGAAAAATTAGCTGCACATTCTGTAACAAGTTTTCTTTGCATTCAATAGTAAAAAGGATCTAAAGAACCCAAGCAACCAGTGTCTCTACTTAACTTCAGTGTGCAATATATACAGTGTGGCAATGTGAGTGAACAAATGGGCACAGCAACAAGCTGCAAAATGCAAAACTCACAGTTCAGTATGGCAGTCTTCCTCTAGAGTCATTTAGAGGGATGAAGCTATTCTAACATGTCTCCACATTGGTCACAGTCATCTGATGGATATCTGATATGCAGTGAACAAGCATCAGTGTATGCCCACTGTGAAGCACCGCCAACAGTCTGACACATCATGATTAAATGTCCACTTTATGAAGATAACTGCCATGCCTTTCACATATACAAGGTGCAACAATTTAATTCCCAGAATGGCCCTGTGAAAGCAAAATTTGCTTACCTATGCACTAGCAGCTGCTGTTGACTTCAAAATACTGTCCTTGTGAAGCTATGCACATTGTAAGATGGTGCCACTGCCAGAAACGGTCTTGAAATTCGTTTTCCGGAATACCTCACAAGTAACATTGACATGTTGTGTTGGCTGTCAGGAATGTCAGCAAATCTTTGTCCTTTCAGGGCATTTTTTAACTTTGGAAAGAGCTGAAATTGCAGGGGCTAAGTTAGGTGAATAAGGTAAATGGTCCATTTTGTAATGAATTTCATAACCAGGAACTTGAGAATTCTTTGTGCATCATGCACACAGGCATTGTCATGGAGGTTAATCCACTTGTCAGGCCAGAGTTAGGGTCCTTTCATCCAAACGAATTCATGTAACCTTGTCAGCACTTCCAGATAACACCATTGATTCACCATTTGTCCTTGTACAATGAATTCATAGTGAACTATCCCCTTGTGATCAAAGAAACACACAAACATGGTCTTGAGCTGCTAGCAAGACATGGGTTCTTTTTTTGGCAGAGGTGAATTCTGTGTTTTCCACTGCATGCTCTGGCATTTCGTTTCTGGGTCATATTGAAAACACCACGTTTCATCACTGGTAGTCATCCTATCATTCATCTCTGCATTTTGTAAAAGATCAGATGAAATGTAAAGCTGACATTTTCTTGTTCATCTGTCAAGTTTTGAGGCACCATCTTTGTGGAATTTTTTCTCATTCCCAAATCATCTGTAATAATCTGTCACACTCTTTCCCTATTCATATTCAATTCTTCTGCTATTACTCTCTCACCTAAACTTCGATCTAAGCATGCCAAGTTTCGTACTTTCTCTACATTTCCATCTCTCCTTTGCATTTTTGGCTGCCCACTTCTTGGGTCATCTTGCACATCAACTCACCCTTCCTTGAACTGCCTATGCCATTAAAACACACTCAGTTTCTTCATAGTATCATATGTAGGCTATGTGATGCAACAAATAACTTCACACCGGTCTTGGGTCTAGCAAATTTATTGCACACTTTTATCCACTCTTACACAATTCACACTTTCAGTGTCCCAAATACTTCTGCTATAGTTACTTCCAGTCTTCAGCTGTATTTGGTAGCTGCTATATTTCAACTGAACTGCCTGGTACATTGAACCCCATTACATAGGCCTCTCATGGACCACACAGAAAACAGCCTATATTGTTGGATGTGTTTACCAACTGACTGCCTAGCAACGGTCACTGCATGGACTCCACTCTTGCATAACATCACAGCCTAATGGGGAGGGATGTTTACCGAGTGTTGCATAGTGACGGGATGAATGGGGTATGTGATGTCACTCACACTTCCTGTTGTGCTATCCAAGTGTTCACGGCGTTGTCGCCTATCAGTGAGCCAATATAATCTGCAATTCTCCCATTTCACGCATGCTCCGAGGCCTCTGTGACTCAACAGTTCCTGCATAGAGCAAATACACCACAGTAGCATATTCACCATAAACCACCATTAATAGGGTCAACGTTTTAATATCACTTTTACCAGTGTTGCCAAAAACTTGATATTTTTCTACTGCTCCAGATCCTTGTCACTCATTTTTCTGCCAACAGTATACCACGGACATGTACTGCTTCCTTTGTTGCTTGTGAATGAATGACTCATTTGGTCTGTGGCTCATGTAAATGGAAATTGGAATGTGTCTAAATGTGCTCGGGTACGTGAGTTTGCCTGACTGAACACTCCAGCAACATGCTGGAACCATTCTGGGAATTAAATTTCCACACCTTGTAAGCTAGTCAAGACAGTGTTCTCAAAAATGACAACACCAGTGTGAGAGCATTTTTAGCATAACTTACTGCTCACCGAATGTTTTACCTTTTTAGTAATGTATATTTCTACAACATCATTCCATCAGTGAAGTTTACAGTTTCATATATAATAAAATATTAGAACCTCACTTTGCTTTCATTCAGAACTATGTTTTAGGTCTTAATAATTTGCTGTATTCTGCGACTTTCTCTTCTATATATATATATATATGTTTTGTAGGTTCAGTTTTTGTATGACTTTAGCCTTAAGAGAGTTGCAAATAGGCAAGATGATGTCACACCTCTGAATACACTCACTCATAACACAGGTCTGCAGAAATATTTTTTTTTTTCCAGCTGCATGGAATATTTTTGGTAAACTTTATGTTTTCTAGGATGCTGAATCCAAAAATGACCTCAGTTTTCCCCTATCACGTACGTTTTTTTTTGGAAAATAATAGGGGTTTACAATAAAAAATCATAACAGCAATGAAAACAATCACTAATTTTATTACATTGAACTAAACACATTATTTCTCATAATTAAACAAACAATTCCTTCATGATATATTTAACATTCTGTGTTCAGTCTTTTTGCCTGTGAAACCTTTTCTTCTTCTCTTTGATGCTCCTCCGAACACACTTTCGCTTTCCATTTTCCGTTTCCCGCTTGATCATCCAGCAGTAGTCAGCTAGCATATTCGCATTCCATCTTCCTTGGTAGCGTCTTTCGATATCACGGACATCCTGGTGAAATCGTTCACCCTGCTCTTCACTATAGGCTCCCAAGTTTTCGGGAAAATAGTCGACATGGGAGTGTAAGAAATGAACTTTTAAGCTCATCTTGCAACCTTGAGCTTTATATGCAGCCAACATGCGTTGTACATTGGTTTTGTAGAGAGGGTCTTTAGTGTTCCCCAAAAACTTGTGCACTACGTCTTTGAAGGAGTCCCATGCTTCTTTTTCTTTTTCTCCCATTTCCCTCTTTGGAGAAAAACTGAGTGAATTCCTTCTCTCGGTGCCTGTACCACGAGAATGATGTTCCAGGTGACAGCAAGTTTTTATTTTTTAGTCTTGACCCTAGCAATTCGGCTGCATCTTTGGAAAGGCCTAAATCTCTAACTAAGTCATTGAGCTCACTCTGAGAAAAAGGTTGGGGTCCCTCATCAACAGAAAAATCTGAGCTGGATTCATCCTGGGGTGGTAATATAGTTCTGTCCTCCGAATCACTCTGTATATCATCCAAACTGGAAGGTGGGAGGGGAACTGGTATTTCAGAGCTATGAGGCACTGGACGAATAGCTGAATTAAGGTTTGGGTAAGATATTTTCTTTTTATTTTTTGTATTAAAGCCTTTCACATCTACCGAACAGAAATAACAATCAGTCGTGTGGTTTTGCTGTTCACGCCACATCACAGGAATGCCAAAACGAAATGAGTTTTTCTTACCCTTAAACCACAAACGAAGATCTTCCTCGCACCTTCTGCACACCTTGTGAGGAGCCCAAGGTTTGTCTTGATCCCCAAGTTTCAATTTGAAATAAGCAAAATACACTTTCTTCACAAAATCACTTATGTTTCTTTGTTGACTTTTAACTATGTATTCACCACAAATAAAACAAAAGTTGTCCGGAGAAATAACACAACCTCTTTGAGCCATAATACAGAGCTAAAACACAAGCACAGTCACGTTTGAATGCAGGATGTAAACTGAGTGGCTTATACATCAACCAAGATCCTGAACTTATTTAGCATGTTGAGACATGATCAAATCTGACAGCAGGCTTGTTTATACTCATTCCTATTGCCCCAAAGAACATGTCCAAACATGCTCAACCGAGCTAGTAAGATTCCTCACCTTTCGCTACAAACAAAGTAAACGTGTTGGGACATGATCGCCTGAGCTCCTCACACCGCCAAACCCACCCTACCAACCCCTTCCACTGCCCCCCCACCCACTCATTTTCTATTTGTATTATTTTTTAGATTCACTCTTATAAATATTATTTTAAAGTAAGAAATAATTATTGGATATGGATTTTAGAATCAACAATAGGATACCAGATTTCATGTTGAAGAGAAATTTCACGCAAAATGTACTTAAAACTATGAGTTTTGCAAAAAAATTGACGTGATGGATTTTTTTACTATTTTTTCCGGTTTCAGTGAGTAAAATCTGTAAGAAACAGTAAAAACATCCTATGCAGTTTTTTTTGTTGCAGACCTGTGTAATCAAAACAGCTCTTTATATAAAAGTATTTTTTAACATTTTAATGTTTGAGCCTTTCAACAATTGTAATTTATATACACATACTAATTTATGTTCAGCCATTATTCACAGTGATCAACTCAACCTGCCCTTAATAATTTTAATACATAATTAAAATTAATTCATAGCATGTACCTGATGAACATATTTTGTTATTCTACAGTACTTTGTAAATATAACTGAAAATGGATCCACATTTTGTAAGCTAATAATTAAAAAACAAATAATTTTCCCATTTAATATTGTAACGTATATAGCCATTGCTAGGCAATGTGTTGGTAAACACATTCCCACACCCCACGCACATGACAATAGAAGGACTTCCATTGCTCGATAATGGAGCTTTTAACTCCCCTCTTTAACAAAAGAAGATGGTATTTTCTGTGTAGTCCATGCTGAGGTGTTATAAAGGGATAGGCAGTAGCGAGCAGTAGTTGCGAAGTGAAGTAGTTGAGAAGAAATAGAAATGAGTCTTCAGAATGTGCAGCTGCAGAATAATGGCAAGAAAGGAATTAGACTGTGCCAAAAAGACTTCATGTGTGATTTGAAGTGACAGTGAGACTGTTATAAAATCCATTGCCAGGATGTGACTAGTGAAGAATAAAAAACCTAGTGCATGTGTAACAGTGAACTGGAAAATGTGTAGAATAGCAATAGCACTGTATTACATGTAGTCTGAAACTGTGTGAATGTATAAGTTGCAGAAAATCTAATCATCCAATCCAGAACCTCCTGTATAGTCATGCTTACACATAACAGTATGTACCACTTGATGGTGAGCAAATTGGTAAAAAATTGGACTGATTCAAATAAATAATTTCTGATTC